TAACTTTTTAGATTTAGCATTATGAACAAAATCGTTTAATCTTTTGTCAACACGCTAACCCAAACCATAATAGTAAATTATGTATATATAATTTTCAATGATCAAGTTGGCTTTCGTTTGTTCTTTAATATTGTAGTAACAGAAGCAGGATAAATCACGGTTATTTGTTATCTCCCTTTTTCATTTTTATTACATCATAAAGTCAGTTTATGAACCAGTAACAAACATTTACCAAACAATTTTGAATATTTAATATACAGGTGGGCGGTGGAAAATTTTTCCATGTGAAAGTGGGCGATGACGCAAAAAAGGTAGCGAACCTTTCCTTTAGAAGATATTTCTCAGATTACTACAATTTCCTCATCTTCTAATCTGAGATCATCCAGTCCTGGGTGTGACGATAAGCTACACTCTCGTCCTGGATAAGATGGTAAACTACATCCGATAGCAAGGCGTCTGATCAGGACGTTTTGAGGATCATAGAGTCACCACTTAATTGCAGATGTTCCCAGATCCAACCTGACAAAGGGTTAGGGTCCCAACTATGGGCAAATAGTTAATCCCCACTATGAAAGTGTAAAATAGATTTTAATATAACCAATGCATTTTTGGAAAAATTATTACCAGCAATAAGTTTTACAAAAAAAAAAGAAATACCAGCAATACATTTTAAAAAAAAATATTAGCATCAATAAAAAATCTTGTCGGCATTAAAATAACCCATTGAGGTTGATATACCGTAAAACAGACCAAACGAAAGTAAACAGCTAAGATCATCCGTTATCCATCCAACATATCATCATAATATTCATCTCTACCTCCCTCATTTACGACTCTACAACAATCTCATTCAATAAACTTGAGTGGATCTTGGGCCTTGTATAGTACAATAGTATTAAAGAAAATTGTATGAATAGTATTAAGATAAATAGTATTAAGAAAATATAGATATAATATAAATATAATGCAAATTAATATAACTAGTCTTAAGATAAATATTATAAATATAAATATTATATAAATAATAATATAAATATAAATATAATATAAATATAACTGTAAAAATAAAATATAATAATAAATATAAATATAATATAAATAATAATATAAATATAATAATATAGATATAATAATATAATAATATATTATAAATAATATAATATAGACATAATATAAATAATAATATAATATAAATATAATACTATATATATAAATATAATAAAAATAAGATGATAAAATATAATAATATAATAATACTAAATATAACAATGTAAATATAATAATAAATATAATATATAAATTTAATATAAATATAATATAAATAATATAATATAATATAATAATATAAATAAGTTTTTTTTTATGGTACAAAATTTAACGATAGCTAGGAATAAGCAAAATTTATATGGCATTTTAAAAAAGCTAAAAAAAGGAACATCCGGTTTCGTCCCAGCCTTATCAAGTTTATTTTCTGGAATATAAAAAAAATTTTTATAAGCGTGTAAAATAAATTAATATAACAAATGGGAGGGAAAAAAACAAATTTCAAGAAAACTAGAGTCCAATAACATTCAGATCCAGTAAGCATTCCCTCTGTTTACAAAGGGAAGGCTCACGGGATCTGATATACAAGGACTCTAGAACCTTGAGGTGATATGAGTAGTGGGACCTAGATAGAATCGAAAAACGGTCACCACTAAAATCAAACACACAATTCCTGCTATTTTATTACATGCTCTGCAATAGCAGAGCCAGAAGTATTGGTTAGTTTTTCCTGTCATTCGGAATTGGTTTTACTTTTCCTGGCATCCGGATTCAAAATCATAGTGGGTAAGTGTTGTTTTAAGTGCTAAGGATAAGTGTTAATATCTGTCTATATTTCTGAGATGAGGTATTATGTACATTATTTACATTATTCTTCATCTTTGCCGCCATATTTATTACATATTTATACCCGGTTAAGACAGTGGAGAACTTTCAGAGGGAAAATTAACAGGAAATAACTGATAACTGACATCCATTAAAAATGGCACGTGGAACTAGAACAATCTACCCCAGTGAGCGAAATAAAGGGTTCAGTTCGACATTCCAACCACCTGAAGAAGGTCGGAGCGTACAACGGCCGAAACGTTGTAATAAATATAACGACAAATATGAGGACAATAATCCGAATAATGTAAATAAAGTGTTAACATAAATATAATATAAATAATATAATAATAAATATAATATAATATAAATAATACACTAAAAATATAATATAATATAAATAATACATTAATAAATGCAATAATATAATATAAATATAATATAAATAATATAATAATAAATATAATAATATAATATAAATATAATAATATAGTATAAATATAATAATAATAAATATAATAATATAATATAAATATAATATAAATAATATAATAGTATAATATAAATAATACATTAATAAATGCAATAATATAATATAAATATTATATAAATAATATAATAATAAATATAATATAATATAAATATAATATAATATAAATATAATATAAATAATACAATATAAAGATAATATAAATTAATATAAATAGTATTAAGATAAATAGTATTAAGAAAAAATTGTTAATACTTATTCACACACGAGAGTATTTAACAGTTTTGAAATTATCAATTCAAAATTCCGAATATTTATGGTGGATTGCATGTATATGTTACCAGTACTCTCGTTCCAATTCCAGAACCTGGTTTCTATTACGTAACGATTTAATTCAATGGTTCTCAACCGGGGTCCATACGCACCCTAGGGTTCACACAAGAAAATAGCAAATTGGGAGTCAACAATAATATTTTAGTGGTCCATAGAGCAAGTTCACATTGAGAATTGAAATTTCTATAGTAATATCCACCATATTGAATTTGTAGAACAACTCTAAAACTAGCAGAAAACGAAACCAAGTGATGTAAGTCAGTTTTCTCTTTTACTCTCTTGGATGTTTTCATTGTAAAAGCTAAATAAAAACTGAGAAGGATATACAGAAAAACCTTTCATCAACGGACTAATCGATGGGATGGGCGGGTCCGTTAACGCCGATAGTCCGTAGATAAGAAGAGATTATTTTTAAGTTATAAAACCACTATATAGTAACTACTAGTAGTTATGATCACAATGTAAATACTATAAACATGTATATATGGCATGAATAAACATACTTAATAGATATATTAATCAAAATAACAAAAATAATAATAGATTTCTCACAGCTACTTTCTCACGCACACGCTAATGTATCGTACTTTCCGTCGTTGTTTATAATTGAAAGGACCGCCGCCAATCGGTCACTTTAAGAACTAATGCGATTCGTTCCGCTAAGCCCGAAAATTTTTTAATATATCGCTGACGATTTGGAAGGGTTTTTTTTTATTTTTTTTTTTTTCCTGCAGATTTTTTTTTTTATTTTGCCTCCAGATTTTGTCTGTTGCAACCGAAGTACGTTGATGCCGGGGGGAGTCCGTAGATGAGAGATTTGTCTGTATATATAAAGGAAGGATTATCTATATAAAGGAAAGATTATATAAAGATTATAATTCATGATATAAAGTAATAGACTCGACATTTTGAAAAGGCGGGGGCGATCTTCGACTATTATTAATAACGATGGAACCAAAAAAAAACTTGCAGACCAGCATTAGCCAAAGGGTTCACATTGAATAAATCTGCCCTTTTTAAAAATTTATTAATTACTCACATATTTTAAAATGGTTTATGTGTTATTTAACTAGTGTACATAAATGATCCATAAAATTTAGTTGTTAGATACAAGTTTATTTTCATTAAATTAGTTTTACTTCAAAATAAAGCATATACATTTACTATTTCCATAATACAATTCCTAAACTTATCTATAAGTAGAAAATAAAATAAGGTTTTTTTTCGTCGAATGGTTATGACGGTCAACCAAAAAAATATTAAAATGCTCCATGGGTAAAAAAAAAAAAAAAATGGTTGAGAACCACTGGCTTAACTGAACTCGAAATTGTTGAAACACTTGATAGAGAATGTTTATCTCTTGTTCTTCATCAGTTATAGACCATCTATACACGTCTGTGCTAATAACATAGACGCTCACATTGTCAATAGACTGGCCTCTACAGAAAAGATTAGAGTGATGAATTCTATCAACAGCGTCATTTGGAACACTTTGACAGGGCGTAATGTACGTACGTGCCAAATAAGAAAGTAAGGAATGGACAAAGAGAATTATAATAAGATATTTCTTCTCAAGAGAAAATGTTTTTGTTATGAATGTTTCCTGCTTCTAAAACAAAAGATGTTTACACGTATGATCTTCCTAAGTGAAAAATGCTAATAATTTAAAATACTGAAAATGTTACTTTCAATGAAAGGTAAAAATAATTCAAGATACATTGTAATTAATCATCTACGTATTTATGTATAATCTCTTTCCATATGTGTCTATAGATCAAACGAAATCTACTTTGTTTAGGGGATTGCTATTGAATTCTTTCCCCAAAAAAAATTTCTGGAATCGGATCTTTTTCCGGGGGTGAATCAATAAGCTTGACTAGTTTTTAATGCATTATAACGTCCATCTTCTCGTTGAAAATATCTAAACAAATAAAGTTGAGATTCGAATTCTCCAGACCTGCCACCTTCAGTCCATCACTTGTTTCGTCGATTCATTTGTTTGTTTGTTTTTGTTTTTTTTGTTTTGTCTTTTTTATTTTGTTTTTTTTTGGGGGGTGGAGTTAGGCTTATCAACCTTTTTTAGATTATTTAAAGCCGAAACATTTTTGGATTGAATATTATTTTCATTTCTTTTTTTTTTTCTTTTGCAAATGAATATTAGAGAAAGCTTGAAGAGAAACGGTGGATTCATGCCTTTCCCAAGGATATTTGTACATATGTGAATGTAACAAACCCGACTGGAATTCGAACTTGGCTCTCCGATTTCCAATTCCGAGCCGTTATTCATTACACCAACTGCACATCCAAGCTGACAGCACCTGGTATTCACAAGCAGTTACCCATCTAAGCACTGATCGAACTCGACGTTGCTTAACTTCGGTGACCGGACGAAAACTAGTGTTTCAACGCATTATAACCGTAAGCCCTTGTTTCGTTCTATGCAACCTACCTTGTCTGGCTAGCGTTTTCAACTATTTAAAGATGCAAAGTATTCATTTAATCAAAGTCGGAATCGTTCTTTTATTACAGAATACACATTTTAGCAGATAGATGGCATAAAGTTATAGAAATCTAGATAAATAGTTGAATTCGTCTGAGATGAGGTATTATGTACACAATTTACATTATTCTGACTATTTTTGTCATCTTTGTCGCCATATTTATTACAACGTTTCGGCCGTTGTACGCTCCGGCCTTCTTCAAGTGGTTGGAATGTCGAACTGAACCCTTTATTTCGCTTACTGGGGTACACTGTACTAGTTCCACGTGCCATGTTTTAATGGATGTCAGTACAGTTATCTCCTGTTAATTCCCCTCTTAGTTCTCCAATTTAATTCCAGTGATAAGCGAAAACCTTAGAGCAAAACCTTATAAAATTTATAATTTGCTAGAGTTTTACTAATTGTATATGGACAGGATACATGACACAAGCAAATTTGATCCTGACTAAGCATCCCGTCTGCATTCACTTTCTCACAGACGTGACGTTGCTTCCCTCTGTCTTTTCTACAAGTATTTTCATGGCAACTGCTCCGACGAGCTACTTTCACTGGTTCTCAAACTGCATGAATTTAAACGTGCTACTTGGTTAGCATCTCGGTCCCACCCTTTCACTGTCGAAACGGCTAAATGCAGCCATCTCTTCTACTCCAACGATTTCTTGTCTCGGGCCTCACTTCAGTGGAACTCCCTTCCTATCACTTGCTTCCCTGATGGTTATAATCTTCAAATATTCAAATGTAATGTCAATCGACATCTTCTGATGCCTTGACCTTCATCCCTGTCCTTTTCTTTATCCTTTTCCCAAACACTCTTCTTTATTCTTACCCTCTGTAACCCCTTGCGTGCTAATGGCACTCCCGCCTTGCTTGGGCCGATTTGCGTAAAAAATCATTTAGCAATCAAATTAGACCTTCATTTACTTCAAAGGGAAGTTATACTGAACAATTTAGTTATATTATGATATAATATGTTATACAGTTTCAGTGGGATTTTCAACAATGCAAATTTAAAACATTTTGTCTTATAATTTGGGCTCAGCAGTATTATGGTGTCATATACACTTTTAGGAGGGCACGGTGGAGTAATGGATAGCGGCTCGGTATTGCTGATTCGGAGAGCCGAGTTCGAATTCCAGTCGAATCCATTACATTCACTTACGTGCTAATACCCTTGGGAAAGGTATGAAACCTCTTCTCCACCCCCACCCAGCTATGAGTAAATAACAGAACAGACGGGGTTCTATAGCCTTGGATGGCAACTGGTCTTCGCAGAACGAAATGTCAACCTACAGTGGGGGAAAATCTGCCTCGTCAGTCATGTATTGAATGATACATGATCGCCTAAGTGTGTATCACGCATGGCACATAACTGCTAATACCCTTGGGAAAGGTATGAATCCTCCTCTTATCCCCTCAGCTATGGGTAAATACAAGGACAGACTGGACTCTATAGCCTAGAACAGCAACTGGTCTACTGCAGAAAGAAATGGCAACCTACTGCGGGGAAAAATCTGTCTCATCAGTCATGTATTGAAAGATACATGATCGCCTAAGTGTGTATCACACATGGCAGATAACTGATTGATACACTTTTATCTATATTCTGTTTTTATTAATTATGGTCTAACAAATCTTATTCGTTGAGTAGACGATTTGTAATCTTTTACCATTATTTTATACAGTTTTTATTTATGGAATTGTTTGTGGGTGATTCATAATCAGAATTCTAGTTTGAATATATTTTCCATTCATTGTATCAACCGAAAAACAAGAGAGAAACACAAAGGCAGAGGGACAAACCTTTAGGTTTTATAGATTACGCAAATGCATTTGATAATGTACGACACACAAAAAAAAAATATAAACTTGTAGGAAAATTTGAATCATTTAGGAAAAAAAAGTGTTAGAATAGCCAAGTAGTTGGAGCAAACCGTCTGCATGCGGATAGAACTAGAGTTGAGTAGGTAAACAAAATTAGAAACAAGCAAATCAAACATAACTACATTTTCCTCCCGTTGAAGACAAACACAAGTGTAACATTTTGACACCCGTACAAACTAAACCTATCTCTACAATTCTGTAGTTTTAGTGATATTTTCTACATGCAATGCAAATTTAAAACATTTTGTCTTATAATTTGTGCCCAGCAGTATTATGGTGTCATATACAATTTTATCTATATTCTGTTTTTATTAATTATGATCCAACAAACCTTATTCATTGAGTAGACTTTTTGTAATTTTTTACCATTTTTTTAATACAGTTTTTACTTATGGAATTGTGTGTGGGTGATTCATAATCAGAATTCTAATGTGAATATATTTTCCATTCATTGTATCTAATATAAAAGTTTTCAACTATATTTGGATTTATTCAATGAAATAGGAACATTTTGAAGTCTTTTATGAAACAAAAAACCTATGGAAATTAGGCATTTCCTTACATTTTTCAGTCGAAATTTAAAACTAAATGCCCAAGAATGAGTAAAAGATGTGAATCTAATTTTTGGTGGCACCATTTATCACATCAAACCCAGCTTTTATCCCGAAAGCAATTTTAATTTTTTAATAAAAATAAAAAATCAACCTGCTAGAAAAAAAGCAACACGGACAGAAGAACGTATCTGTAGGTTTTATAGTTATGCAAATTATATATATATATATATATATATATATATATATATATAAGTGATAGAAATTATTAGGAGGATTTGAGATAATCATAATTAATTCATCGAGTCTAGAAGAAAAACCTCTGCAAAGGCACTGGTCGGCCGTTTCGTCCTGTATTTGGGACTTCATCAGCAGTGCTTATTTACTAACGCGAATTGAAACCCGGAGAGTTACGATATGAGACGAACGTCATCCCAACTGTACCAACTGGCACCGGTGACGAAGAGGTAACGAATTAAACACGATATAGTGACTTTAGATCATATATTCTGTGGTGGAAATAATTTATCAAGTGTAGAAGAAACATCTACAGAATGCAGAAAGCACAGGACGGCCGTTTCATCTATATATATATATATATATATATATATATATATATATATATATATATATATATATATCTTACTACTAATCGAAAAGAATCTACATGAACATGGTTTGCTTTACCTTGCACGAGACATGGTCAATTTTGATGTTTTAATAAAAATAATAAAACAACCTGCTAGAACAAAAGCAACACAAAGAAGAACGTACGTGCCTTATAGATTATGCAAATATATATATATATATATATATATATATGAATATATATATTTATATATATATATATATATATATATATATATATATATATATATATATATATAAATATATATATATATATATATATATATATATATATATATGTATATGCGCCAACGGTTTAGGTGTAGAATATCCGACTGACGCCACTTTCGATTCTAGCTAGAGACAACCGGACGTCAAGTCACACTGTCTGTGGATGACAATACATAAGCTCCTGAAAAATTTATTATGGTTGAGATCTCTGAGGAGGAAGTATGAGTTTTTAAACAGTGACTGCTAATAATGCAAGACTCTTCGGTAAAACGAATCGAGTACTCTCAGTCATTTTGTGTTTAACTAAAAATAAATACGCTTAAATTCACATTCAGACCTGCCGTGAGCTTTGGTGTAGAATATCCGACTGTGGCCAATTCAGCCGAATTTCGTTCCTAGCTAGAGGCAATCGGACGTCTAACCTGATGAGCGGCAAAACAGTCTGTCTGTGAATGACTATCTATCTATCTACCTATATATATATATATATATATATATATATATATATATATATATATATATATATATGCTAATATAGATAACTATACTCGTTTCGAAAAACCCTTGAATTTTGATTTGCCAATAATCAAATCAATCTCGAGGAAAATATGGTTTCAAAACAAGAAAAGAGCTACAAACATGAAAGACTGTCGAAAAAAAGCGCACAGATGCAGGTTTGAAGCCCAAAGAAAAAAAAACCCGATACGAGTAAACAACTAACTAACAAAAGAGCTCAATACAACCGTAGAGCAGACCTAGATACCGAGTGAGCCAGACAAACCTACCTAGGTTTCACCTAAACGGATCGTCAGGGAAATTTGGCTGACGATCCGTTTAGGTGAAATCTAGGTAGCTTTGTCTAGCTCACTAAATATATATATATATATATATATATATATATATATATATATATATATATATATATTACTTGAAATAGTAATTTTAAAGTCAGTTTGTACGCCGAACCTGCAGAAATTAGTTATTTCTGTACATTTTTCAGACGATCTTTATAAGTAAATGTTCAAAAATTGATGAAAGCTATGAATCTAATTGTTGGTGTTAGTATGTATTATATCAAACTCTATTTTTTACACTGATTGCAATGTTTATGTTCTAAAAAAAATAGCAAAAAATCAACTTATCCTGTCGGATAGTGATGCTACGAATTTTTATGAAGTAAAGATTTAGTCAAAAAATGCTGGAAATATTTGCATGTATCCAATATTTATAAATAAGCGACGCTAAAAGATACAATCGAGCTTTAATACAAATAGTGAAGAGAAAAATATCTCCCATTGCAACCATGTACTGACCAAGTTAGACGTTGCTTAACTTCGGCGATCGGACGTGATATGGCCGTAAGCCCGTGTTTCGTTCTATGCAACCCACCTTGTTTGGTTATCGATTTCAACTATTTAAAGATATGAAGTATTCATTTAATCAAGGTCGGAATCGTTCTTTTATCACAGAATACATATTTAGCAGAGAGGTGACATAAAGTTATAGAAATATCGATAAATATTTGGATTATTGAAGAGTAAAGCTACGAATTTTTATGGAGCAAAGATTAAGTCAAAAAATGCTGGAAATATTTGCATTTACCCAATATTTATAAATAAGCGACGCTGA